TTTTTATAAAAATATATATTTAATACACTATTAACCTATATTTTAAAAATAAAAAATTCATAAAAAAATTATCACATAAGATTGCATTGCATGTATAAAACAGCAGCAATAAAAGCAGTCAACCTAAAATAATTGGTGACTAAGTCAATTTACATTTAATCTGGCGGCAGGTGCGAGATATCCGGATTGTGTAATAACATTAATAACGGCATTTCCGCACGGCACCCCCACCTCGTTTGCCGTAAACGTGTTTGCCGGTTACCGACGAGAGGTTGGATCAAGTGGTAAGCGGCTTGTTCTAGTTTAAATAAAGTTTTGAGTTTGAGACTTTGTGTACGCAGCAGCCTTCGTTGGGAGATTCACCCACCATTTCTAGGTGCGTGACATGGGTCGGGTTCGGATTAGTAGGGGCGAAGCCCCAGACACCGGGTGAGAAACCGAAAAAAAAAAAAACGTGTCTGCCAGGTATGTACCCAAAAAAAAAAAGAAAAAAACGTGTCTGCCAGGTTTTTTCATTTTTCCTCCCACGCGTCTTTTAGAAGTCTCCGAAAAAGCGGGCCCCAAACAAATCAAAGAAAGTTGCTGTTGGGCTTTCACCCATCAATATGGTTTTTCTTGTGGGCCCGAAAATGAGTTCGGAGAGCATCTTGGCCCAAAAGATTTCAACACGCCTTTATTTATTTTTTTTTCTTTCCTTCTGTTGTGTGAATTGTCATCAAATATTAAAAGGTTTGTCTAACTTTAATAAATATATATATACTTTATAATTAATTTATATATATAAATTATGAAAATAGATATTTATTTAATAATATTATAACATAAATAATTATAGTTAGTTAATTAATTAATTAAATTAAAATTTATATTTTTTATATACTCCCTTCATCTTTAAACAATTATCATTATTTGATTTTAAACTTATCTGGAATAAATTATTACTTTTTTTAAGATGAATAAATATTTTTTACATCATTATTTATTTTAATTAATTATTTTATCACAGAAAATTTTACTTTATTTTTTAACTTGTTCTTAAAAATAACATAGATAAATATATAAATTATTTTTAAATCTTTAATTTGAAAAGAAAAAATAATTATTATTTAAAAAATAAATTATTTTTTTAAAAAAAAGATATATAATCAATACATTTTTAACCTAAGCACAACATAGACAAAACCGAATAATAAATATTTGAAATAAAAGAATTTCTAGCTTATTCGCGACTCAACAGGCAATGCCATAATCTCTTATCTCAAGATGAAATCATGCAAATAGAGAGGGCTTCAACCCGAGTTGTACTAGTTGGTAACAAAAATATGATACTTTGAGCTCATCCAGTGGAGTAACCACAAAGCACCGGGAATGTTTTCTAAGTTACATGTGGGAAAATAAATATAGCTGAGAAAGATGCTTGTTCTTTTCATCCTTTACCAAATCTGCTTCTTCTAATTCCCCTCCTCATGGGAGTCCTATCAACCTCTATGGTTCTCTCAGGACTCTGCCCCTCTTCCTCATCACTACCTTCATCAGACCTCCACCTCAGTTCACCATTTGCTGTTCTGCACCCAAGAGTAAAAGACTTCTCTCCATCACTGCAAATATGCAGAAATTACAAATTAAGAAACCACAAAACAAGAGGATGTTACTATAATTGTCCAAAGCCTACAACTATATCTGCTGTTACCATATCACTTTAGAGAAAGGCGAACGAAGAAAGAATTAAGAAAAGGAAACCAAAATCATTACCTCCCAGAGACATCCATTGGTTCATCTGCAGAGAGCATATGCCATTGTCCATGGCCAATATCTGATTGGCCCCTCTTACCAGATATATTTGACCGCAGGTTCAAAGCAGAATCTTTGAAGAAGCCACTATTGCTGCTGAGTGTACTTACAGGATTAGCTGTGACCCTGCGGGAATATGGAGGGCTGGTGTTGCGAACTTGATTAATAAACCCGTTTTGCTCTTCTTCTGAAGTGATTTGAAGAGATTGTTTTTCTTGGGGGTGTCTGTTTTGAAGCCCTTTCGAAGAACTCATAGTGGTTCCTTTTAATGGCATAGAAAATGGGGAACTTGATCCACAAATTCCAGGAGTTGAGATGTTACCAAATTTGAAACTTCTGCTAGCACCAAATTCAAGTTTTGTTGCTCTTTCTGCATCTAAGAACAAACTTCCCTGAAGAACCGATGAAGAGCGGAAATCATCAGTCCCAATATGAGAATTACTGACAGAATCAACCAATACATTCGAATTCTCAAAAACTGATGTCCTCATAGGAGTAGCAATATGGTCAGACTGCAGAACAATAGAATCTGAGGTTGAGGGGACCAACAAACTGGTTGCCTTGGATACAAATGACTCAGGATGATCAGAGTTTACTGGTATGTCAGCTTCTCTACCAGAAGTATCCAGAAACTCTGCCAATTTTCCAGTCTTTAATTGTTGCTGCTGGACTTCTGGCAACAACTCTACACCTCTTTCCTGTTTATAAGAGTGAAACCATTTTGCAGATTGATAAGATTTTTAAATATCATTTATCTTCCTGAAGTAGCAAGCCCAAGTAGTCATAAGCATTACGAATAAAGCCAAATCAAACCTAAGCCACAGAAATTTGAACCACTTACCACCAATTCTTTTCGCCTCTGACGCTGTGATTGCATTCTGGATAAAACTTCTTCATTGATTTCTTCTTTTGAAATGAACTCCTCTTCCATGTTCCAAAGTTTGAGATTCACCTGATATGCCTCCTGATATCTATAACGCTGGAAAGGGTAACACATAAGAAAACTAATTAGATCTCCGGTAATCCAATCATAACTATTTCTTTTAATAACACAAATCACAGAGAGCTATTTAACATATTAGAGAATGCAGCGCCAAGAAGCGGAAATTCAGCATCTCCTAAAAATGACATTAAAGTTGGCAAATCAACCAAGGCCAAGGAAAATTAGTAGCAACAAAAAGATTCATCTAACAGGTACAAAGTGAATCACAAAAACGATGCAAGGCTAAAAGGTAAATTGTGCCCCATCATTCCAGGCTCTGGGAATCAATATATGTGTTAGAATGATATTAAATAATATATATAATACCACAGCCTTATTTGACCTTTTGTAGATCTGCTAGTCACCTGAAGATAGAACACAACAAGAAGACTGCCAGCTGTGGTTGAAGGGTCAACAGTAGCATAATCTAAAAGGCACTTGTGAATATATTTCTCCTCATCAAAATTCCATGGCAATTCTATCATTCGATCTAACAAGTTCCTCCGAATACATAGACAGCAAATTTCAGTAACCAATGTTTCCACCCACTCTGACCAGCTCCTGCTTTCCACTTTCAGATCAGCAGATGGATCCCCACTTTGTCTGAACGCAAACTTATTTTCCCTGATTTTGGTGCAGAGCATCCTTTGATAAGTAAATGCTTCGGTCAATAGCCCACACTCCACCTTCACTCGAACACAAGTGACAGCCTCACTAAGCAAAACCAACTGTGATACACCATCACGACCAGACCAACGTAAAACCATAAGTGCTGCCTCAGGATTTCCTCTTTCTAACAGCACATGTGCAACCTTAGGATGAGTTGATGGGCCAGAGATCTCTGGAAGAATTTGGTAAGCTTCCTAAGGAATATAATACAACGAAAAGATAATTAGCAGCAAACAACACATGAGAGTACAAATAAGTATTCTTGACTTGGATTGAGAGTTATTAATTGTTGGCCTAATCCACCAAGCTGCAAGATAAATGGTACACAAGTCAAACTAGTAACACCATAAGCAAACTTTACACTATTGGTTTGAAATACATCTAATGTCCTGACAGCAAGCAAAATTGGGAACTTGGACTCAATGCATATTTTAGAGAATTCATACAGAAGTTACCTGCAGAGCCTCATCTGACAGGTCATCCAGAAGAAAGAATGTGAATGATTCAAGTAACGAATGCCTGGTTATACCAAAAGTGACAGAAAAATCATTCACGATGTCTCTCCACCTTTCATCAGGTGTTCTCCAATTCCAATCAAACAAATAATATAGGAACTGAATCTCAGTTAAGGTAATTATCAAAAAACTTGCCTAATTGGAAATATTTAATCGAGAACATATACCCAACAGGAGATAAACACATTAAATTGAAAAGGATACAATGGCTTGCTTTGCAACCACCAAATCAGAACTTCCACATAGAAAGAGTAAGTCAACAGCAGCTTTAAGATTTTCAAAAGGATAGCATCCTGTCATTCCCTCTATCTTAGACCTAGAAAATGACAAGGCTCCATTCTTTTGCAAAAAAACATAAACTGATCCCTCTTCATATCCTTGCTCTATCTCCAGATTTGCTAGAGCATCTTCAATGAAGAGAGAGCCATCCGGTCCTGAGTCTGCTGAGGAGTTTAATACATCAGGCCATGCACGTCTAATTGCAGCTGATTTCCTTTCTCGAACATGCAAGCGCCAGCATGCAAAATCAGTATGTCGACACCTCTGATTCTCAAGAAATTGGTGTCTAATGCACCATGTGGCAATCTCCAGATGCTGATAAGAAACATATTAAGAATCCATAATTTGTTCAATATACCCTAAACTAAAACCCATAAAACAATTTAATCTATTATTGTTCAACAAGAGAAAAAGCTTAACACCCAATTGCCAGATGTCACAACTGGACTGAATCTCATTCAAAAAATTATAAGTGGTTTGTCTAGAAAGAACATTGAAAGATTGTTCACTAGATAGAATTGAACCTGCTTTGTCTTTAAGATACTCTCATGAAGGCGATGCAAGTCATGAAGCTGAGCAGACAGACTATCTTTGAAAGATGACTCCAAAACATCGAGCACATTGGATATACCAGCCAATTGTGCTGAAAACTTTAAAAGTGAACTCAACCTATTTTTCGTTCCTTCTACCTCAAGATCATCTAATAAAAGGTGTTAGGAAACACAGAATCTTCAAACAATAAACCTAACATACAAAAAGATAATAGATATTCAAATCTTTTGAGGATACATATCCTTTGAAGTTCTGCTATGATGTTCTTAAATGTTTGCTTCACCCAATCCTTGACAACCTTCTCATCCAGCAACCAAGCAGTAACAGCATCACTGGAGACAGCAGTTTCATCCATACAAACATCTGTCACATCTATTGATTGCTTGTTAAGACAAATGTAAACTTCAGATGGAATTTGGGGCATGGTACAAAAATATAAATGACTCCACAGAGAAATGCAACAAACAGTAGATGGATACAATGACAAATCAAAGATACTAAGTTGTTCTCCATGGCTGCATCAAAAAAAGAATAAAGGCGTTGGACATCATTAGTCAGCTCATTATCCCTCTCTTCTTTATCTTGAAATCTCTCATCATGTTTTCTGGAGATTAGGCCAGCATTGATGCACTCATCGTAAAGGCGAAGGCGGAGTTTATCGCCAGTTATTGGTATTGGGATTCTACAAATTGGACAAAGATCACACCGCTGACTACACTCTGCACATAAGGAGGCATGTCCACACGAGTTCAATGCATGCTGTACATAACGCCCACATCGTCGCAAGTCTCTAGTTGCTCTGCAGTGCTCAACTTTTGCTTCATTGCACAAATCACTAAGATCAATAGAGGCAAGGTGCTCCAAAGCTTCCTGAAAATAAAATGCAAAAGTAAATATAATTTCTTGTAATACTTATTAAAGTAGAACCCCTCTCAAATCCTCAACCCCAAACCCCCCCCCCCCCCCCAAAAAAAAAAAAAAACCAAAAAGAAAAAAACTTGCTCCCCATAAGTGATTGAGCCTAAAACCCTAATAAAGCTGACAAAAGGGTTTTGCAAATTCGATGCTAAAATCAAAGAACATGTGAATTCAAGCATTTAACTGCTTGCAAGATAAAGCATCGATGGTTTTATACAGACCTCACCGGTACTAAATAGTGAACCTAAACCCTGGAAGCAACACAATAACTAGGTCTTTCCAATTTGCAGCTATTAGTCTCGTTTGAAGGCAGAGAAGAATGTGATCATACCTGCACCACTCGGCTACCGTAGTTGGGCCTCGGAGGGGAACCAACTGATCTCAAGCTGCCGCCGGTACTTGCAGAGCTCGACGGACCGTTGACATCAGTTCTCTCCATTTCCGAATGGATTTGTTTGAAAACAAAAAGCACGAAATGGGAAGCAGAAAAATGCAATGAAGTGAGTGTTAAACAGAGGCTGTGTGGGAGAGTCGGGACAGCATTTGAATAAAGGAAAGGAAGGAAGGAAAGAAGACGGTCCTTCGCGATCCATGGAAAGGCGAAAACGTGGATTCGGGTCGGGTGCTGTTGTGGCCGAAACTTGACCCAAAACAAAAATTGAACGCAGTACTCAAGTCTGGCCCATCATCCT